CTTTATTTTAGAGATGAGGTCTCGCTGCCCAGGTGGGTCTCGAACCCGCGGGCTCAGGCAATCCACTCACCTCAGCCTCCCAAAGGCGTGGGATTACAGGCTGAGCCACCGAGCCCGGCTGAGACCTTGTTTCTATATTAAATAAATAATTAGCTGGGCATGGTGGCATGCACCTGTAGTTCCAGCTTCTTGAAAGGCTGAGGTGGAAGGATCACCTGATCCCAGCAGGTTGAGGCTGCGGTAGCCGTGAGCATGCCACTGCCCTCCAGCCTGGGTGACAGAGTGAGACTCCGACTCAAAAAAAAAAAAAAGAAATGGTGGTAAAATAACAGCCAAATGATCACTAGTATATGGGAGGGAGGGTCTGAATAAATAATTTACTATAAGAAGTTATATTCTTCGGATTATCCATTTCCAACGTTATAGTGTAACATTTGTCAAATTAGAATGTATTTTGTTTAAATACTTTAAGATGCTTTAATTTCTCAAATGCAAATTTTAGTTTATATTTGACTTTATTTTTTTGCTTAGTACATCTGATCTTAGATGTTTTAATGAAAAATGTCTTATGAGACACAAGTGCTTCAACATTGTGAAGATACTAAATGCCACTAAATTGTTCACTCTAACCCTTTGCACCTGCATGTCCTCTCTGAGAGGACATTAATTAATTGCTGGTGATTATACTGGATGACCTTGTATCAATACAAATTTTTCAGAACTGTATATTTCCTTGAAATTTCCATTCAAATTGCACATAAAAGCATATAAAGAGATGGAATATATACTGAGGTATACATTTTAAAATGTCAGCAGACATTATGTAGAAAGAGAGTATATAAAGTGCTGACCGGGCACGGTGGCTCATGCTTATAATCCCAGCACTTTGGGAGGCCGAGGTGAGAGGATTGCCTGAGCCCATGGGTTCAGGACCAGCTTGGGCAACTTGGTGAGACCTCATCTCTACAATAAATCAAAAAAATTAGCCAGGCTTGATGGCGTGTGCCTGTAGTTCCAGCTACTTCGAAGGCTGAGGCGGCAGGATCACATGATACCAGCAGGTCGAGGCTGTGGTGGCCGTGAGCAGTGTGCCACTGCACTCCAGCCTGGGTGACAGAGTGAGATTCCAACTCAAAAAAAAGAGAAAAGAAAGTGCTTTCATAGTGCTGTGCAGACTGGACAAAGGCCATATACTATTTGTGTGGGAGGAAGAAAATAAGACTGCATTGTCTGTTTGAATAGAAAAACACCAGGTAGAAGACGTCAAACAAATTACTATTATACAACAATGCATCTGCAATGCAGGTCAGTGACTGTTTCACATGTTATCACAGAGTAGAAAAGTGCAAGATATGCAATTTTGATTTTTTGTTATAAATAAGTTCCTCAATATCCAAAATTCCATTACATGCCAAATACCATTGCAGTAAAATGATTGGTTCCAACACTGTGCTATTTAGTATTCATTTTTCACTATTTGGTAAAGTGCGGTCAAGTTGCTGATAGGTGATCTGTGAGATATCTCCGAGTACAGAAGGTTAAAATGGTTAATTTTATGTTATATGAATTTGTTTTCTTTTATTTTTGAGTCGGGGTCTCACTCTGTTGCCCAGGCTGGAGTGCAGTGGCACGGTCACAGCCACCACAGTCTCGACCTGTTGGGCTCATGTGATCCTTCCGCCTCAGCCTTCCAAGTAGCTGGAACCACAGGTGTGCACCACCAAGCCCAGCTAATTTTTTTGGCTTATTGTAGAGACAAGGTAGATCTCACCATGTTGCCCAGGCTAGTCTCAAACTCCTGGACTCAGGCAATCCTCTTGCCTCAGCCTCCCCAAGTGCTGGGATTACAGGCTTGATCCATCATGCCCAGTGTTCTGAATTTCACCTCAAAATTTTTATTTTTATTTTTGGGTCAGAGTCATATTCTGACACCCAGACTGAAGTGCAGTGGCATGCTCACAGCCACTGTAACCTCGACCTGCTGGGCTCAGGCAATCCTTCCACCTCAGCCTTCCAAGTAGCTGGAACCACAGGTATGCACCAACACGCCCGACTAATTTTTTTTTACTTATTGTATAGACGGGGTCTCACCAAGTTTCCTAGGCTGGTCTCGAACCCCTGAGCTCAGGCAATCATCTCGCTTCCACCACCCCCCAGGCAATCATCTCGCTTCCACCTCCCAAAGTATTGAGATTACAGGCATGAGCCACCATACCTGGCTGATAATTTTCTTTTTGAGTTGGAGTCTTACTCCATTACCCAGGCTAAAGTGCAGTGGCACACTCATGGCCACCCCAACATCAAGCTGCTGGGCTCCGGCAATCCTTCCACCAAGTAGCCAGAACTACAGGCACATACTACCATGCCCAGCAAATTTTTGATTGATTATAGAGAGAGGTCTCACCAAGTTGCCTGGGCTGGTCTCGAACCCGCAGACACAGGCAATCCACTCACCTCGGCCTCCCAAAGTACTGGGATTACAGACTGAGCCACTGAGCCCGGACTAATTTTTTTTTAAATGCTTCTACATCTGCTTGGGTCTGGAAAAAGAAAGTAAATGCCTCACAGTTCTTACAATTAGGTTAAGTTGTGGGTTTTTTTGTTTTTGTTTTTTGTTTGTTTCCGTTTTTTAGTTTGAATTCTGAAGCACAGAGAAATTAAGTAAACTGCATTTCTAGTTTGGATGACATGAGCAGAGAGACTTTTATTACTTACTAGCAGAAGTAGTCTCTGGTTTTTTCTAAGATGTCCTTTTACTGACTTTTCAAGGGGCTAGGTCTTGTAAATCATGTCTTTACCGAGGACAATTTGAAGAAGTTATATGTCTCAAATCTTGGAATTGGACACACGAGGTATGCCACTACAGGAAACTGTGAATTAGAAAATTGTCAGCCCTTTGTTGTCGAAACACTTCATGGGAAGATCGCGGTGGCACATAATGGCGAATTGGTAAATGCTGCTCGATTAAGGAAAAAGGTAAGTTGGGGGTTTTTCTGTTTTGTTTTTTAAAGTATTATAAATGATTGGGATGAGCTAATGAATTAAGGATCTTGGTAAAGGACATTTTCTAATTGTAGCTACCTGTTACCTAATTGCAAGAAACAACTGCAACAGAACTGGAGTACTTGTAATAATTCCAGACTGGAAGATATTACCTCCAGGTTGGGGGCAAGGGTGTCCATCTGCATTTTAATTTGCTCACCTCTCAAACGCACTGCTTTAGAGTTCGGGGAAAAATTGATTCATGGTTGCTTTTAGAATTGCAGAGATATTAGGGTTTATGGACTCTCGCTGTCTCTTTCATTTTGTTTCTATGTTCAGAGCTTATATGAGATAGGAAAAACCAAGCTGAAATGTTTCAAATGCTCAAGCTCAACACAGCACACTTCTGCGACCAAATGAGGGGTTTTCTTACAACAATTAGTTTTTCAGAGGACACCAACTGGGTATCCTATTAATGAAATTCTTAATAGTGCCTTGGAGTTGAGGTCAGATCACAGAGGTTATGGACTCAGTTCCACAAGAATGTTACGCCACTTAAGATGCCAGGCCTCGGGGTACTTCTGACAACCCATTATAAATTGGGATATCCCAGGTTGAGACCAAAGGATCAGATCTTGGAATTGGACACACGAGGTATGCCACTACAGAAAACTGAATTAGGAAATTGTCAGCCCTTTGTTGTCGAAACACTTCATGGGAAGATCGTGGTGGCACATAATGGCACGGTGGCTCACACCTATAATCCGAGCACTTTGGTGGGCTGAGGTGAGAGGATTGCTTGAGCCCATGGGTTCGAGACCAGTCTGGGCAACTTGGCAAGATCTCATCTCTACAGTAAATCAAAAAACTGGGCTACTTGGAAGGCTGAGGCAGAAGGATCACCTGAGCAACAGAGTAAGACTCCAACTCAAAAAAAAAAAAAAAAAAAAAAGAAGAAGAATCACCTGAGCCCCAGAAGTTGAGGCTACATTAGCTGTGATTGTGCTACTACACTTGAACCTGGGCGACAGAGTGAGACACCATCTTAATTAATTAGCTAATTAATTAGTTAATATAAAATGAACATTTAAGAGTTCCTGCAGTCTGCAAGTAATCCTTGGTTTTGATCATTTGCTAGAGCTGCTCACAAGTGCTTTAGTTACTTTTACTGGTTTATTATAAAGATTGTTCTAAAGGATATAGAAAAACAGTCAGGTGAAGAGACAGACAGGGCATGGTATGTGGGAAGGGACATGCTTCCATGCTGTTTCTGTCCAAGGGCATGCCAAGTGTTCAGCTGTCCAGAAGCTCTCCAAACCCAGGCATTCTGGGTTTTTACAGAGATATCATTAAGTAGGCATAGGTGATGAAATCACTGGCCACTGGTGATCAGCCCGACCTTTATCCCTTCTCCCTTCCCTGGAGGTCCAGGGATGAAGCTGAAAATCCCAACCTTCTGATTCCATGGTTGCTTTCCCTGGCAACTAGACCCTATCCTGGTGCTATCCGGGAGCTCCTAGTTACCGGTCATCTTGTTAACACATAAAAAGACAGCATTTTGCCAATTTCAAGGCTTTCAGGAGTTGTATACCAGGAAAGAACAGGGAAAAAGCCCACATACATGTTTGTTCATCCACGTACATCACAGTATGACAAAAGCATAAGGGGAAAAATGGAGTTTAAACTTGAAGGCAACAAATGAATAAATGAGTTGGAAGCAATGACAGAAAACTAAAATAGTCTGGGAGATGGGACAAAGAGCTGTTTACTTAGTCTCCGTTCACGGCATGTTGTTGGGAGCTTTCTGTGGCAATGATGTTGAATTTGTTCTTATGCCTTCATCCATACTTCATCTTGTCTTGTCTGTTTTTGAGTTGGAGCCTTACTCTGTCACCTAAGCTGGAGTGCAGTGGCATACTCACGGCCACCCCAGAGTTGACCTGCGGGGCTCCGGCGATCCTTCTGCCTCAGCCTTCCAAGCAGCTGAAACTATAGGTGCATGCTATCATGCCCAGCTAATATTTTATTTATTGTAGAGATGAGGTCTCGCCAAGTTGCCCAGGCAGGTCTCGAACCTGCAGACTCAGGCAATCCACTTGGCTTAGCCTCCCAAAGGGCTGGAACTCCAGGCTGAGCCACCGAGCTCAGTCTAGATGTTGAATTTTCATGAGTCAGCATTTACGGAAGCCTGATTTATTTCTATTATGGTGGGCTGTCGGGTGAGGGGTGGGGTAGAGAGTCTCCTCTTATGATTAAACTTTTCATTTTTCTATATAGCTTCTGCGCCATGGTATTGGTCTGTCCACAAGTTCTGATAGTGAAATGATTACCCAATTACTGGCATACACCCCTCCTCAGGAACAAGATGACACTCCCGACTGGGTAGCAAGGTAAATGTAAAACTGGGCTGAATTTATAGCTCTTGTAATAAGAGCTTTGCCTTTTTTATAACTGAAGTTACTCATTCAACTGTTCTGTTAATTCCAGGATTAAAAACTTGATGAAGGAAGCACCCACAGCATACTCCTTGCTTATAATGCACAGAGATGTTATTTATGCAGTCCGAGACCCTTATGGAAATCGTCCTCTTTGCATTGGCCGTCTTATCCCAGTATCTGATATAAATGACAGAGGTAATGAACTTCAGAAGAAATATAATGTCATGTTTTCAAAGTGGTTGTCCAACTGCTGGCCAGTGCCAAAATCTTTAGGTATAGGAAGTTTATGTGTGAGAGTGGTCTAGGTAAAAAAAGAAAAATGGCATTCTTTGTTTTAAAGGTACATTTCATTGAGTACTTATAAGAATGAGTCACTTTTTTTTTTTTTTTTTTTTTTTTTGGGTTGGAGTCTCACCCTGTTGCCCAGACTGGAGTGCAGTGGCCGCTCCCGGCCACCGCAGCCTCAACTTGCTGGGCTCCGGCGATCCTTCCGCCTCAGCCTTCCGAGTAGCCGGAATTACAGGCATGCGCTACCATACCCGGCTGATTTTTTGATTTATTGTAAAGATGAGGTCTTGCTGCCCAGGCGGGTCTCGAACCCGTGGGCTCAGGCATTCCACTCACCTCAGCCTCTCAAAGGCGCGGGATTACAGGCTGAGCCACCGAGCCCGGCTTTTTTTTTTTTTTTTTTTGAGTTGAAGTCTCATCTTACTCTGTCGCTCAGGCTGGAGTGCAGTGGCACGCTCCTGACCACCGCAGCCTTGACTTGCTGGGCTCAGGCGATCCTTCCACCTCATGGAAGGATTGATTTATTGCAAAGACGAGATCTCACCATGTTGCCTGGGCTGGTCTCAAACCCGGGGGCTAAGGCAGTCCTCTCGTGTCGGCCTCCCAAAGTGCTGGGATTAAAGGCTTGAGCCACCATTCCCGCCCAGGATGAGTCACTTTTAATGAATGTATTTAATAAACATTCCTATTTTTTTCTGTCCTAAATTGCCTGTTCATATCCTTTGCCTTAGCTTTTTCATTTCTGCAGTATAATTGTAATTTCCTTTTTGACATATTTAAGCCATGAAACCATAACATTAGAAGGAATCTTGGAGGATCATTTATTGTATCCTTGACTTAAGGCAAATGACAGTCCATGTGCTCTTAAAGACATCGAAATGGCTATTCCATGATTTTTATTTATTTGTTCATTTACTTGATGTTTAACTATTCTGTTGAAATAGCCCTTTTAAAATTTCTTGAATCTATTATCTGAATTCGTTGTCTTGTGATTTACAGAGAAAAAACTATCAGAAACTGAGGGATGGGTGGTATCTTCAGAGTCTTGTAGCTTCTTATCTATTGGTGCAAGGTATGTTTAACCTCATTTAGCATCTTTTCCCACGTTGATGAGAAAAGTTTTTTTCCACACTGCTTTGCTTCTAGGAATATAGCCTAGAGAAAGTTAAGGATGCATGTAAAGATATCAGCGCCAGGATGTCCTCTAAAATGGTTTTTGTAAATTGCAAAAAAAATAGAAATAAATTGAGGTCCCACACCAGGCACTTGGTTCACAGGGAATTCTCATTCTTGAGCTGTCAGTTTCCATGCTGAGCAGTGATGGGGGGGCAGTCCTTTCCCTGGAGGGCAATATTGACATTGTAGTTTTGGCATGGACAAGCATTCATGTGTTAAAATTCATGCTATCGTATCTCAATTATTTTTTTGTTTCACCTTTATATTACAGGTGTGGTTTATGTTGATTTCTTTTCAAAGTTATATGTGTATTTCAAGATCATAAAGGCAGTGTTATAAAATCTTGAAGGATAGGCGATGAAATGCTCATATTGTTTATCTCAGAATGTTGAGGTTATTTTATTTTTGTTGAGGCCTTTTATTTTCTGTATGTGTCTATTTCTTAAGTTTTCTACAGAGAACGTTACCTGTTTAATAAAGACTTCTTATTCTGAGCTTTCTGAAACAGAAAAAAAAAGTTTTTTTATATTTACATGAAAGTTTTCTTTCTGATATCTGTAAGAAAATAAGTATAAATGCATTTTATTATGTACATTATTCCCAGCAGTTACACTTAATATAACTCTAATGTTCATGTGATACTTTGTAATTCTGAAAGTGACATCCTTCTTTCGAAATACCTCAAGACTTATTTTAAAAAGCAAGAACTTTCTCAACAAGGAATAGTTTCAATAGAAAAACCTAAGCCAGGATATAAAATGTTTTCTTTAGACATTATTCTTTCAAAATTTAATCAAACTTAGAGCCCTTATTTTTACATGCTATGTTAGAAATTAGTGTTAATAGAAAGATTTACAGAAATTACTACTGCAGGCATATTGCCTTTTTTAAAAAGCCATCTCTAGATTTTACATCAAGTGAATCCACTTTTCCTTTATAAGGAACTCTGTGTGTGCTTTATAATTGATGTTATCATCAACCTTAAGGACGAGTTCATTAAAAGTCTCTCTTTAACACTGTTTCCCAAGATATTACCGTGAAGTCTTGCCTGGAGAAATAGTGGAAATATCTAGGCATAATGTCCGAAGTCTTGATATTATATCACGGTCTGAAGGAAATCCAATGGCTTTTTGTATCTTTGAATATGTTTATTTTGCAAGACCAGACAGTATGTTTGAAGGTAAGCTAATTTCTTTTCATTGACTACCTGTATACATTTTACTTATCTCATTGAAACAGGGCAGTTCTTAGCCTGAGAGTTTACCTGGCTCTTTGAAGGCACATAGTTCCATGTTGTGAATATTGGACTGAACCCACAAGTCATAAGGTCACTATTTTTCCCTTACTCTTTTGTTTAGTTGGAGTCTCACTGTTGCCCAGACTGGAGTGCTTTGGCACACTCACAGCTGCTGCAGCCTCGACCTGCTGGGCTCAGGCAATCCTTCCGCCTCAGCCTTTCAAGTAGCCAGAAGTGCAGGTGTGCGCTACTGTGCCCAGCTAATTTTTGATTTATTGTAGGGACAAGGTCTCACCAAGTTGCCCAGGCTGGTCTCGAACCCCTGAGCTCAGGCAATCCTCTTGCTTCTGCTTCCCAAAGTGCTGGGATTACAGGCGTGAGCCACTGTGCCCAGCCTTTCCTTTACTTTTGACTCATGGATTTTGCTTTTCTTATAGAAATAAGTAAGGATTATGATTTTCAGACCTATATTAAGGTCAAATATTTTAAAACCACACAGTTGAATTCCCCAATCTGTATTCCCTCATTAGTGTTCTTGTATAGATAGTTTTTCTTTTTATATGCAATCTTTAGGGTGCTAGCATTGGTTTGTTAGAATAACAATTTACATCGTGCTAAATCATAATAATCTATTTTCTTTTCCAAACATACCAGACCAGATGGTTTATACAGTAAGATATCGTTGTGGCCAGCAGCTGGCTCTTGAAGCACCTGTGGATGCAGATTTGGTCAGCACGGTTCCTGAATCTGCTACACCTGCAGCTCTTGGTTATGCAGGAAAGGTATTTCTCCCAATTAGCATGCAGTGAATTGTGTTCCTAGCTGTGGAATAAGAAATTCTTCTGCATAAAGAGAAACTCAGCTTGTAAGAAGAAAGGAAGATTGGGGGGTTAATATTGGTTCCCTTACAATCATTTACCAGCTTTTTTATTCAGTGGCATTATTTTAATAAAGACCACAAAAAGGTTCCCCCAAAGACTAGGAGACTGGTCCGTTGATCAATTGATTGATTTTGAGTGTGGCACTGGAGCTCAGTGGCACCATCATGGCTTACCACAGGCTTGACCTCCTGGGCTCAGGTGGTCTTTCTGCCTCAACCTCCAGAGTAGCCTGAACTACAGGCATGCACCACCACGCTTTTTATCTTTTTGTAGCAACAAGGTCTCACTATGTTGCCCAGGTTGATCTCGAACTTCTCTGGGCTCAAGCAATCCTTCCACCTAATGCCTCCTAAAGTGCTTGGATTACAGGCGTGAGCCACCACCCTGGCTAGCCCTCTTCTTTTTAAAAAGATAACATGAATATACAGTTGACTCTTGAACATCGTGGGCATTAGAGGTGCCACCACACACACACACACACACAGTCAAAGCTTCGTGTAGCTTTGGACTCCCAAAAAACTTAACTACTAATGGCCTGCTGTTGACTGGAGGCCTTACTGATAGCATAAACAGCCAATTATCACATATTTTATATGTTATGTGCATCATATACTGTATTATTTCAATAAGGTAAGTTAGAAAAAAGGAAATGCTACTAAGAAAATCATAAGAGAATGTGTTTGCTCCTCATTAAGTGGGGATGGGTCATTATAAGGGTCTGCATTCTCATTGTGATCTTCACCTTGAGTAGATTGAGGACAAGGTAGAGAAGGGTGGTCTTGCTGTCTCATGGGGAGCAGAGGCGGAAGGAAATACCTATAAGTGGATTGATGCATGCAGTTTAAACCCGTGTTGGTCAAGGTCAACTGTGTATAGAATATAATGGTAACATGTACTGATTATTAAAATCTACTTTATGAATCATCCTCACAAGTTGCTGGTGTGTTTGTTCCCTGTTGAGTATGGGTAATAATAAAGATGTTTGTTTAGTGTCATGTTAATTAGTACTATGCTTAACTTTATTTTTCATAGCCTGGTGGATTATATAACTATAGTGATGCTGGAGTATAACACCCAATATTTACTACCTTGGATAGTTTTGTTTATTAGTTTATTAGCTTCTAAGAGAAAGAAAACACCTAATTTTAGAGAAATTTACCCTGAGAAATGGATGAATTAACCTCCTGTCCCTAAAAAGCCTCTCTGTAGCTTACTGGTTTTAATTCATTTCTTGTGCTGATGGTCCTTAAATATGTGAATTTTTCTGACAGTGTTTTAATATTTGTCATGACTTCATATTCTTAGTGTTCTCTTCCAAGATAGAGAAATAGTATTCGTTTAACAGAGAAGCATTATGATTTCTAACCAAATGAATTGGTTTTTCCATCAACTATATTACCTTTAACATTGTTTCACAAGATATTACCATGAATCCTTGCCTGAAGAAATAGTGGAAATATCTTAGAAACAATGTCTGAAATCTTGATATTATATCAGAGTCTGAAGGAAGTCCGAAGGTTTTTTTGTATAATTTTTAAATATAATTAAAAGTAGTTTCTCTTTATTGCCTCCCTTGCACCCCTGCCCAAATTTAAATAGTGAAGGAAAATTGTAATCTAATGTTGGACAGTTCAGGATATCAGCCACATTTGGAAATTTTTCTTACATATCATGGTGACAGCACAATCTAGAGAAAATAAGAGCCTAGACAGTGTTCTGTATCTTGCTGCTCACTGTCCTGTTCTTTCTATCAGTGTGGGCTTCCCTACGTGGAGGTGCTGTGTAAAAACCGGTATGTAGGAAGAACCTTCATTCAGCCAAACATGAGACTAAGACAGCTTGGTGTTGCAAAAAAGTTTGGAGTTTTGTCGGACAACTTTAAAGACAAAAGAATTGTTCTTGTAGATGACTCCATTGTGAGAGGCAATACCATCTCACCTATAATAAAATTGCTCAAAGAATCCGGTGCAAAAGAGGTAAGTAACCTTACCTAAAGCATCACTAATTAATAATAAGATATCAGCATTAAAATTACAAGGAATCAAAATGAATAGTTTAGTGTCATAAACATTTCATATTCTGCATGTTGAGGAATAACCGTAGCAACATGGAGAACACATAACAGCCACACATGCTAAATTTAATCCTTGATAGATTGAAAAGGTCAATGTAAAAGCTTGCAATTTTTATAAAGTTGATTAAACAGCTAGCAAAGTACATGAAATGAATGTTTTTTAAACCTAGAGAGTGTTACTTTACCTATTTTAAAACATAAAACCAAGCCAGGCTCGGTGGCTCAGCCTGTAATCCCAGCGCTTTGGGAGGCTGAGGTGACAGATTACCTGAGCTCACAGGTTCAAGACCCGCCTGGGCAACTTGGTGAGACCTCATCGCTACAATAAATAAAAAATAATTAGCTGGGCGTGGTAGCGCATGCCTGTAGTTCCAGCTACTTGGAATGCTGAGGCGGAAGGATCGCTGGAACCCAGCAGGTGGAGGCTGCGGTGGCCGGGAGTGGCCACTGCACTCCAGTCTGGGTGACAGAGTAAGACTCTGACTCAAAAAAATAATAATAAAAAAAAATAAATGAAACATAAAACCAATCCCAGTATAATATGTTTCACTCATTAAATTTTTTTGTGTGTTACTTTATCTGTTAAATTTTTTAAAAATTTTTAAACTGACAAATGTATGCATTTATGGTGTAAAATATGATGTTTTATTAGATGCATTGACATATTAAGTTATATGTTTAAATTTTAAAGCTTAAAACTTATTCTTTTTTATTCTTTTTTTTTTTTTGAGTTGGAGTCTCACTCTGTCACCCAGACTGGAGTGCAGTGGCCGCTCCCGGCCACCGCAGCCTCACCCTGCTGGGCTCCGGCAATCCTTCCACCTCAGCCTTCCAAGTAGCCGGAACTACAGGCATGCACTGCCATGCCCAGCTAATTTTCAATTTTACTGTAGAGATGAGGTCTCACCAAGTTGCCCAGGTGGGTCTCGAACCCGTGGGCTCAGGCAATCCACTCACCTCAGCCTGCCAAAGTGCTGGGATTACAGGCTGAGCCACTGAGCCCGGCTCAAAGCTTATTCTAACTGTAAATATTTCAGCAGTTCAAATTACAGTGGTAAAATGCCATGTACAGCCAGTAATTGAGCAAATTTATAAATAAAATCGATTACAGGAGAAACTGGGATGGCCAGCAGTATGATGGTCTATTTAGAAAGTTTTGAAAATAATTGAGATTATGATTTTCCAGACATTTTTATGATGGGTTAGGATTATGACAGTCTCACCCTTTGGAATTCTATAAGAATTATGTAATAGAAACAAGTATATTAAACATTCAATTCAATAGTGAAAAAGAATGGACAAAGGCTGAGGCTGGCTGTGAATTTTTAATTTCTATGAGTACTACAATCTGATCTAAGGCTACAGTTCTATGTTTGCCACATGATTTTTCAGAATCCTTTTTCATCTATTATTCAACGTAACAAATTGTGTAGTTTACTGTACTACCTATCTGTTGTCACTAAATAATCTGTATTTGCAACTTTATATTGTGTTTGCTCTATGAAAGAAAATTTTGCATAATTATTCATGCAAAGAATGTGTAAAATGATTTCTTTCTAAGGTACATATTCGAGTAGCTTCACCACCAATTAGATATCCATGCTTCATGGGAATAAACATTCCCACAAAAGAAGAGCTTATTGCCAATAAACCAGAATTTGATCATATTGCAGAATATCTAGGTAGGTACTTCAATTTCTATAATCTTTTTTTTTTTTTTTTAGTTGAGTTGGTGTCTCACTCTGTCACTCAGCCTGCAGTGCAGTGGCACACTCACGGCCACCCCCGCGTCGACCTGCTGGGCTTCGGTGATCCTTCTGCCTCAGCCTTCCAAGTAGCCAGAACTACAGGCATGCGCTACCACGCCTGGCTAATTATTGTTTTTTTTATTGTATAGATGAGGTCTCACCAAGTTTCCCAAGTTGGTCTTGAACCCGCGGGCTCAGGCAGTTCACTTGCCTCAGCCTCCCAGAGTGCTGGGATTACAGGCTGAGCCACCAGGCCCAGCCAATTTCCAAGTAGCTGGAAATACAGGCATGTACCACCATGCCCAACTAATTTTTTGATTTATTGTAGAGATGAGTTCCCGCCAAGTTGCCCTGGGCTGGTCTTGAACCTATGGGCTCAGGCAGTCCTCTCACCTGGGCCTCCCAAAGTGCTGGGATCATAGGCGTGAGCCACCACGGCTGACCCAGTCAAAAGCTTTAAAAGGCTCTGAGTTTTATTGATTTACTTGTTTCTTTTTTCTTTGAATACTATCAGAGAAAGATTTATCCTGGCTTATACTATCCTGTTGAAGCTTTCTTTCCTTTCCAAAGGACCTCTCATGACCTTATTATGTTTCCCTCTTTCCACCTACAGGAGCAAACAGTGTTGTATACCTGTCAGTAGAAGGACTGGTTTCATCTGTACAAGAAGGGATACAATTTAAAAAACCGAAAGGGGAAAAGCATGACATTATGATTCAGGAAAATGGAAATGGTCTGGAGTGTTTTGAAGCCAACGGTCATTGTACAGCTTGTCTCACTGGAAAATACCCTGTGGAATTGGAGTGGTAGCTGGGAGGGGCAGATGTGTTGCTTCAAGATATGAAGGTTGTCAAGAAGTTACGGTGGTTACATCTTGTCTATTTACTGTTACTCAGCTGGTACAATATACGATGCCACTTGCTTATGTTTACCTTTGTAAGTTTGAGATATTTTTTTCTGAACAGAGTACCAAAGTGCTACAGTTGGATCTCGCCAATTGCATATAACACAACAGTGGGTCGTATGCCTTTTTTCATACAAGCATTGGCTAGCCTTTTTTTACCTGGTCAGAGAAGGGAGCTAGTAAGTGACATTTGCCAAATCCATATTTTAAAGGGTTTGCAAGAGGTTAGACTTAAGATAATTGTGTTACAGACAGGACAGGTGAGTTAAATATAACCTACCACGCAAAGTTTGAATCCATTATGCCCCGTACATGTCTAGCCTCGACAGTTCTGGCTGTAGGTAGGACCTTGGCTTTTCTGTCCAACTAGAAAAATCTTTAAAACAAAAATAAAAGATTATTTTATGCCTCAGTTTTCCCACCTGTGCCATGGGATACTTACTAATTAATAGAAATGTGAATGTGTCAAACTCTTGGTGAAATTGGAATGGTAATTCCAATTCCACAGAGTATTATTTCTTCCCTAAATTTAAATAAGATAGTTCATGATTACTAGCTTTTGAAAAGTTAATGATTATTAACTTTTTTGAAATCCATTGGCAACTAAGATTTCATTAAATCAAAAATTAGCTGGGCATGTTGGCACACACCTGTCATTCCAGCTACTTGGACAGCTGAGGCAGAAGCATTGTCTGAGCCCAGCAGGTCGAGGTTGTTGTGGCCACGAGCATGCCACTGCATTCTCGCCTGGGTAACAGAGTGAAACTCAGACTCAAAAAAAAAAATCTGTGAAAAAGTTTTTCTTACATATGACTAGAAAGTGTGTTCCATAATATTTAGTGCCCTCATAATCCAAGCCCAGCCAGTAACCTAGTACATTTGAAATAAGAACCAAATATTTAGATTCCATCACACTCTTTATTCTTAATTTTATTAATTATCAAATGCTTTTTTATTTTTTAAATCAGGATCTCACTCTGATGCCCAGGCAGGAGTGCAGTGGCATAATCACAGCCTACCACAGCCTCTACCTCCTGGACTCAGATGATCCTCCCACCTCACCCTCCAAAGTAGCTGGGACTACAGTCACGTACCACCAAACCCAACTTGTGTGTCAAACTTTTTGTAGAGGTGAAGTCTCGCTATGTTGCCCAGGTTGGTCTCAGTTTCCTGGGCTCAAGCAATCCTCTTGCTTTGGCCTCCCAAAGTGCTAGGATTATGGACATGTTCCATCACACCCAGGCTCAAATGCTTTTTAAATGAAATGCTTGATCACTTGCAAGCATATATGCATGTACGTGTTAAGTTGATGTGTAAGTTTGTAGCATTCGTGTTGGGAATTTATCATCTGTCATTTAGAGTGACAATGTTGTGCTTGTGAATACACCTTGCATTTTGCAGACGTGAAGAAAGTGCTACTTGTGGGCTAAAGAAGATGGAATGTCAAGCAGAAAAAATGAACACTTACAACATATTCTTCTGTTTGAGTTTAATAGACGCATAAAAGCAGGGAGGCAGCTCGAAACATTTGTGCTGTGTCTGGGGAGATTCCATCGGGGAGGGCACGGCAAGAAAATGGTTTTGTCATTTCAAAGAAGGCCACTTTGGCCTGAGTGATTCTCCACATTCAGGAAGACCATCGGGCTTCGATGAAGACTGCTTAAGTGCTTTAATCCACAACAATCCACATCAAGTCAACCAAGTATTGGCAAACGTGGTAAACTGTGATCAGTCAACTGTAGTGAGACATTTGCGTTCCATGGGCAAGCCTAAAATGCTATGGACTTATGCTTCAACCCAATATATACACCCTGTGACTGCAGTTTAGTTTAACGATCAAGTAGAAATACAGTAGGGACCAGTTTTAAGGATCAAGGAGACAACTGCTTTTTTTGGAAGTACAATGCCAATATCCAGGCATCAACTTATAATCACTCTTTTCTACTTCATTTTATTAGGATCTAATACACTTGATCTTGTTTTGAAGTTTTTCTTGTAACATCTAAGATTTAGAAGTTTAAGACGACTTTTTCCCCAACACCCGTTTATGTCATATTTTTACAACATAAAAATGTCTGTTCATGACCCACCTGGGCAACTTGGTGAGACCTCATCTCTACAATAAATCAAAAAACTAGCCGGGCGTGGTAGCGCGCGCCTGTAGTTCCAGCTACTAGGAAGGCTGAGGCGGAAGGATCGCCGGAGCCCAGCAGGTCGAGGCTGCGGTGGCCGGGAGTGACCACTGCACTCCAGTCTGGGCAACAGAGTGAGACTCCAACTCCAAAAAAAAAAATTCTGCTTCTGTGTTATATTACCACAACTTGATGTATATAGTATCCACCTCCATTTAGAAATGTAATATTTATTAATAACTACAATTGTCTTCCTTCACCATACAGTCTCACATATTGCATTACGGCGGGCAAGATAAAATCCTGACAGCTCTTTGAGCCCACGTGCAGCAGCAGGTCAGACAGCCCTGTAGCGGTGACACAGGCAAGCTGACATCTGAAGAAAGCCCTGGGACCACTTCAGCCCGTGTAGCCGCTTGTCTTAAATGTATCCCCCATGGCAATACAATGGAGGGGGTAAGACCTGTGGATCTATTTTGAACTGGCCTTACTTTGTTTTTTGTTTTTTAAAAAAAACAAGAGACTCAGGGAAAATACTAAACCAAAATCTCTGATTTTTACTTTTGTGTTTTCCATCGTTTTTATTTTGTTTTATGGTGATGCTTTTGTAAAGAAAAATAATACTGTGACAGTTTGGTAATTCTTTAGACCTCTTGATGTTTCTCTACCACGGCCTTTCATTTCAGTTTTTGAGGTCAGAATTCAGTTACAATTTTTTTAGCCAATTTAATCTCAAATGTTTGACTGCTTTAAATTTATACAAGTAGAGTATTGTGTGCTGAGATGAAAGTGAAAAGTGTGTTTTCACAGGATTTATATTGTGAACTAAACTAAGCCTGCTTTTTGTGACTTCTTTGTGATGCCTTGTTGACAAATATATGTAACAAGTATGATTAAATATGTCGGTGTGCTTTCTGTTTTTCCTCTCTTAAATAGTGACTTTTCGTTAGTGCATTATGGTAAACTGCATGAAGGCAACATCCAGGCTCCATACTTGGCACCAGCCAGGCAGATCTTATTACTCTGATCCACACATTTCAATAAATAGACTCTCTCTTATGAACTAGGTAAAACTGCTGACGGACTACAAAGAACAAATAAGGTCATTAGAAATGCAATACTGGGGCCAGGTGCTGTGGCGCATGCCAGTAATCCAGCATTTTGGGAGGCTGAGGCGGGTGGATTGCTTGAACCCAGTTCGAGACCAGGCTGGGCAACATAGCGAGACCTCATCTAAACAAAAAGACAGTCAAAAAATTAGCTGGATGCGGTGGTGTATTCCTGTAGCCTCAGCTCAGGATGCTAAGGTGGAAGGATCATCTGAGCCCAGGAGTTGGATGGAGGCTGTGGTGAGCCATAATGGGGCCACCGCATTCCAGCCTGGGTTACAATGAGACCCTGGATCAAAAACAAATAGAAAAGTAAAGAAATTCAAAACTAAGTAAACATAGAGTAATGAAAGTTCTTTGGAAGCACTGAGGGAAAGGGGAAGATATAGAAAGTGTGTTGTGTGTGCTGGGGCAGTTTTTTTTTTTTTTAAATCAAAATGTAAATAGATAAACTGTAACATACAGACAGTAGAATATTATCCAGTACTAAAAAGAAATAAACAATCAAGCTATAAAATGACACAGAGGAAACTTACATGCATATTACTTTTTCTTTTTTGTTTGGTTGGTTGGAGTCTCGCTCTGTCGCCCAGACTGGAGTGCAGTGACACTACTCATGGCCACCACAGCCTCAACCTGCTGGTCTCAGGTGATCCTTCCGCCTCAACCTTCCAAGTAATTGGGACTACAGGCATGTGCCAAAACACCTGGTTAGTTTTTTTTTTGTATTTGTTGTAGAGATGAAAGGCCTTGCCATGTTACCCAGGCTGGCCTAGAACCCATGAGCTCAGGCAGTCCTCTCGCCTCTGCCTCCCAAAGTGCTGAGATTACAGGCATGAGCCACCACACCTGGATTATACATATTACTAAGTGAAGGAAACCCATCTGAAAATGCTTTGTACTGTATGATTCCAACTATGACATTCTGGAAAAGACCAAACTAGGGATTCCGTAAAAAGATAAGTGTTCTCCAAGGACTAGCCAGGAGGGAAGAATGAACAGACAGAGCACAAAAGATTTTTAGGGCAGCGAACCTACTACACTCTGTATGATGCTGGAATGGTGGATACATGCTATGCTTTTGTCCAGGCCCACGGAACACCAAGGGTGAACCCTAACGTCAATGGTGACCTTGGGTGACATGATGTGTCAGTGTAGGTCCATCAGTGGAAACAAATGTACCACCAGTTGGTAAATGATGACAGGGCAGGCTTTGGGGAGCGGAGGGGGGCAGGGGGCATATAGGGAATCCCTGTACCTTCTGCTCAATTTTCATATGAACTTAAAACTGCTCTAAGAATAGTCTAAGGCTGGGCACGGTGGCTCACGCTTATAATCCCAGCAGTTTGAGAGACTGAGGTGAGAGGATTGTCTGAGTCCACAGGTTCGAGACTAGCCTGGGAAACTTGGTGAGACCTTGTCTCTACTGTAAATCAGAAAATTAGCTGGGCTTGGTGGCACACGCCTGTAGTTCTAGTTGCTTAGAAGGCTCTGAGGCACAGCCGGGCTCCGTGGCTCAGCCTGTAATCCCGCGCCTTTGGGAGGCTGAAGTGAGTGGATTGCCTGAGCCCGCGGATTCGAGACCCGCCTGGGCAGCGAGACCTCATCTCTACAATAAAAAAAAAAATCAGCCGGGCGTGGTAGCGCGCGCCTGTAATTCCGGCTACTTGGAAGACTGAGGCGGAAGGATCGCTGGAGCCCAGCAGGTCGAGGCTGCGGTGGCTGGGAGCGGCCACTGCACTCCAGTCTGGGCAACAGAGTGAGACTCCGACTCAAAAGCAAAAAAAAAAACAAAAGAAGGCTCTGAGGCACAAGGATCGCCTGAGCCCAGTAGAGGCTGAGGTGGCCGTGAGCGTGCCACTGCACTCCAGCCTGGGCAACTAAAAAAAAAAAAAAAAAAAAACTTCCTTTACCTCCCTGAATATATCCACTGTATTCCCATTGCAAAACTACTTTTGAATAGCTCTCTTTTATTTATTTGTTTGTTTCTTTTTTGAGTCAGGGTCTCACTCTGTTGTCCGGACTAGAAAGCAGTGACATGAACATAACTTCTTGCCTCAACCTTCCTAGTAGCTGGGACTACCTGCCTGACTAAATTTTTTAACTGTTTTTTTAGGGACGAGGTCTCTCTATGTTGCCTAGGCTGGTCTCGAACTCCTGGGCTCAAGCAGTCCTCCTGCCTCAGCCTCCCAGAGTGCTGGGATTACAGGTGTGAGCCACCAGGACCAGCATTTTTTTTTAAAAAAGAGAATCTTCCTCTCTGTGTAGTTTGACATAATGGTATCCAGAAGCAGGATTGAAGTGAGCTCCCTCAGATGAATCAGTGACCCCTGAAACAGCAAGGCACCCACATTGAACCTTCTTGAGCTCTCAGACTCTGGTGTTTGCCTTTTATGCACAAGTAAATCACCTCAGATTCTTGGACTCTCTCCTTTTGGTGATTTTT